AAAGGGGGGGGGGGAGTTTGAGGTGTGGAATGTAGTGAAGTCCAATCAGCTTCCATATGCAAAAGACCTTGAAGGTTCCATATGCAACTGACATTCCAACTGACTTGCGGGGGGGGGGGAGTTTGAGGTGTGGAATGTAGTGAAGTCCAATCAGCTTCCATATGCAAAAGACCTTGAAACACTGGGCGGGACTGCACGAAGCAGCCAGTCAACTCAGCCAGCGTCTTCTGACTGACAATTTAATCTTCCATACACTAAAGGGGTGAACTTTAGAATTCTGGCACCCAAAACTCTTTTATAATAAGGGAGAGATGGTGATGGGGTCCAAACTGGAGGTAACTGACCAGGAGAGAGATCTTGTTGTGGTAGATAACTCCCTGAAAATGATGACTCAGTGTGCAACTCCAATAAAAAAGGTAAATGCTCTGCCGGGGATTATTAGGAAGGAGACTGAAAACAAATCAGCCAGTATAATAATATCCCTGTATAAATCTATGGTGTGGCCTAATTTAGAATATTGTGTACAGTTCTGGTGACTACACCTTAAAAATATATTATAGTATAGGAAAAAGTGCAGAAAAGGGCAATTAAAATGATTAAGGGAATGGAACTCCTTCCCTATGGAGAAAGGTTAAAAGAGGTTAGGGTGCTTTAGCTTGGAGAAATGACAACTGAGGGGTGACATGATAGAGGTTTACAAAATTATGCATGGGATAGAGAAGGCAGAGAAAGAAGTACTTTTCTCCCTTTCTCACAATATAAGAACTCATGGGCATGCAATGAAATTGATGAGCAGCAGGCTTAGAATAGATAAAAGAAAGTACTTCTTCACCCAAAGAGTAATTAATTCATGGAATTCACTGTCATAGGAAGTAGTGGTGGCTGTGAGCATAGACAGCTTCAAGAGGGGATTGGATAAGCAGAGGTCCATCAGTGGCTATTAGCCACAATGTATAGATGGAAACTAATGTCTGGGACAGTGATGGTCTGTATTATTGGTGCCTGAAGGACAAATGCAGCAGCCAGGCTATTGCTAGGGGAGTGAAACAGGGATTGTAACACCCCAGTGCAGAAAGATCTGCACTGACTTCTGGTTTGTTTCCAGGCACAATTCAGACTTCTGGTTTTTACCTTTAAAGCCCCAAATACCATGAGGGTAGGGTACTTGAAGGATCACCTCCTCCCATATTGTCCAACCCACTAGTTAAGGTCTGCCTCTCAAGCTCTGCCCTCTGTTCCCTGCCTTCAGAGCTAGGGTGGGTGGCAACCAGAGACGGGGCTTTTTCACTAGTGCCACCTTGATTGTAGAATGCCATGCCACTTCAGGGTCTACTGGCACATACATTGCTTTCTTTTAGGCTCCAGGCAAAACATTTCTGTTTATTCAGGGTTTTATCTAAGATACTGCTCTCTAAACAATCTTTTAATCTGGAAGCTGTTATTTTGAGCTTTCAGTCATCTATGTTTTTATGTTAGGCTGGGATTTTAATGCTGCCATCTTGGGCAGATTCCTGGAGAGGTGGCATAAAATTTTGCTAAATAAACATGATAGATGCCTTCTGCAGAACCTGTGTAGATCAGCTGTCTGCACACTGCTGCAAGACTGCTCTTTTCAGCTTTCTGATACAATATGCCATAAGCTGACATTTTGGTTCTATTTATGGTACTGGCTTCATGCTGTTTCTGCACTTGAGGCCACAAAAGGCACAGAGCTGCTTGACTGCTGAGCATGGTAATGAAAATAGGTCCTACTAAAACAAAATGTGCTTCCTTCTTGACTTGGCTTTTAAAAATTTAAGGAAGGACTTCTAATGCAATAATTAAACATTAGAACATGTAAAAAAGGCTCAGTGCTGTTTTTTAAAGGGGCAAAGATGGAGTGGAAGAGACGAACATGCAAGTAGACAGGTTATGGGAAAGGATGGTTAACTTTATCCCTTCTTGTTGTATCTGGCAAAGGGAGCTTTGACACTTGGAAAGCTTCTACCCTGAAAATCTTGTTGGTCCCTAAGGTGTTACCAGATTCAGATCTAGCTCTTCTACTGCAGACCATAGGGTTGCCAAATATTTTTCGGCGTCTGCGGTGTGTGCGCGCGCGTGCCGCGTGCGCGTCACCCGGAAGTGACATTGTACGCTGGGGGCGGGGCCACTGCCATTGAGGGGAAAACTCTTTGTTTTCCCCTCAAATGACCGTGGCCCCGCCCCCAGCGTGCGACGTCACTTCCGGGTGACGCACACGCAGGGGTGGGGTTTCCCCCGGGCCCGATTTTTGTCACGTTGAAAATCGGGCCATCAAAGCGGGGGATTCCTCGCCCCCCAGCGCCATTTGGCAACCCTAGCAGACCAACATGGCTACCCTCCTGAATTTATTGGCACAATACATTTCTTCTGCTTAAAATCGTCCTCTCCTCATCTTCCAAGCACATGTTTCAGAACAGAGATATACTGGGAACCCCGCAAGAAGAAAAACAGCTTGCTTTGCACTCTCTTGCAGCTGCTTTGGTTTGTTAGGAAAAAACAGCACTGGAATATAGTGGCACGTTTTCATGTGTAACATGTAGTTAGTCCCCCAGAAGATATTTAATTGTTGTAGTAGCTGTTCTATCTGGAGCATGATTAGTGTCATGATGCTTCAGTTTATTAGTGCAGTAAGGCACTTGGCCCTGGTGCCACTTCTCTCCTGTGCTTAATTTGCATCACTTCTTCATTTCAGGTTTCTCCTCTTTGGAATTGTACTCATTCCTTCTTTCATACAACTCATCACATTTGCTTTGTGGAAGGACGTACATAATATAGAATTGAGTTCTAGCCTTTATTTTGAGCCAGAAACTAAGTTTGATACAGGACTCTCTGGGCTTCTGATTCTTAATGATACAGGTAAGGATACAAAGTAGAATATTGCTAATTAATTTATTTACAAACTTTGTTCCTCACCTTTCTGCCCAATCAGGGCCACAATGGTGGCTAACCGTTAAAACAAAGCATTACGAAAACACACTGTAAAATGACTAAAACCAAAACTAAAATAAATACCTAAAAGTACAGAAAACAATAATTTAAACATAAGGTGGGAAGGAGAGACTATTGAAACATCATTTCTGTAGAGATTCAGGGATACACCTGATTCAGGAATGGGGTCCATGGCAGGGGAAAGTAGGTGGAGGATGTTCAGGTAAATGAGGGAAGGAAAAAGCAGCTCAGTCATAGAGAAAACACTCTGTCACTTTGAAAACAGGGGGGGCCCCCACTTTCTGAGCAGTGGTTTGGAGGACTGCCAGGGCCTGCTTCCTGGAAGCTAAGCCACGCCCTCAGCTGCCCTCAGTTGGGCTGCCTCTTTCTTCTGGAGCCAAAGGAAGCTCCAGGTTGCTCTGGGCTGGGTGGCAGGGACTGCTTTCGGGGTGGTGTGGGGGGGCAGAGAGGCCAGCGGGTTGGTGGGGACTGCTTTTGGGCTGGCAGGGGGATTCAGAAAGCACCCAGGCTGGCTGTGGCAAGCCTGGTGCTCTAATGAGGCCAGAGCCGACTGCTTTCAGGGCAGGGGGTGGCAGAGAGGCCAGCAGGCTGGCAGGGACTGTGTTTTGGGCAGTGGCAGTGGGGGGGCTTCAGAAAGCACCCAAGCTGGCCGTGGCCATTCTGGGGCTCTGGTGAGGCCGGTGAGCTGGTGGTGACTGCTTTCGAGGCATCGGAGAACACCCAGTCTCTCTCTGTCCCTTTCTGTTTCTCTCTCTCTATGTTCCTCTGTGTGTGTGTGTCTCTGTTCCTCTGTATGTCTCTCTCTCTCTCTGCCTGGTTTGAATACACGTGGATGTGTTGCCTCAGTTTCCCATTGGTGGGTGCGTGTGCGGGGAAGCAAGCAAGAGCCAGTAAGAAGGGCATGTCTCTGTGTGTGTCCTGTCCTGTTACTGAGGGAGATGCTGTCTTTCTCCGCCCCCATTTAACAGCACTTGGCAAGGAGCGAGCAAGTCCCTAACACCACTGTCTGGCCCCGATGGTGGCTGCTCGAAAGTGCGGGGGAGATCAGGAGTCTTTCGCCCTCCAGCTCGTAAAAGTGCATTGGTCTCCGGCTCTTTCTGTGTGTCATCAATAACCTGACACCTTTGTGTGCAGGAAAAGCCCAATCATCACGCAAGAAACTAGGAGGCTTTTCAGCCTCTCAGAGCTATGCCATGAGGAACTGAAGGGATCACGCTTTCTTAGACATTTAGTCTCAAACAAGATGCAATGTGTGGTTTAGATACACCCCCTCCCCCGCCCCAGCTTTATTCTAACTGCAAAGGCCATCAGAGTTTCCATTTGGGTCTTGGTTTTTTTTCCAGCCTTCTGTGCCTTCCAGTAGGCAGCGTGCAGGGGTCATTTAGTAGAAAAAGAGCTGCAGGATCTCATTAGCATACCTAATAACCTATTAGCATAATAGCTCATTAGCAGAATCCCCTCAATGTCTTCTCATGGACCTGAAAAAAGTCGAGGCTATTGTACAATGGCAGGTACCCCAGAATTGGAAGGACGTTCAGAGACTCTTAGGATTCACCTATTATTATAGACAATTTATCCCCACTTACGTGTCCTTAACCACACCCTTAACCCAACTCCTGTATCCTGTATCCTGATATTGTCTATTGTTTAATTATTTTTCTCTCTTAGCCCTTACTGTCTGGAGCTCTGTTTTCTACCTTTTGTTATCTTAGTCCTGTGGGCTATGTTGTCTGTGAATATCTTCTCCCATAGAGTTCTTGTTCTTTTCTGGCAAGGTGTACTCTGTGATAAGCAATGTTAGCTATGGAAATCCAAACTGTGCCCCAAGGGGGTAATCCACTGGAAAGTGTCATATGTGTTAAATGGGAATGAAAAGATTTTCCTTGTTCCAGTTCTTTAATGTTCTGTCCTTTGTTTCTGCCAGAAGCTTTGTTCCTTTCTACTCAGGGGGATTTCAGTACAACTAAAAGCATCTCCAACTCTCTGCATGACTCATTCATTGGTGTACAGGAACCTTTCTGTGACCAAGAGCTTAAGGTTTTCTTGGAGTCCAGAAAGCTGTCCACACAAAAAATAGCTTCACCTGTTAAATAATAATCCATAACGATCTATTAAAGGGACAGGACTTTTTAAAATCCAAGCTTGCTATCAATGCTAGGTGTGTTATAAACTGACACGTCAATTAATAATGTAGTCCATTTTAGCTAAACAAAATGATATGCAATAAATGTAAAATGATGCACATTGATTATTTTAGTTCTGTTTTATGCTTCTTTTCATTACTTCTCTGTTTAGCTGGCAACTGAATGTTTCACCCTCATCCTCTAGTCAAGTGACCAATCAGCTTTACTTTCTTATCAGGTGCAAGTATTGACAATTTTATCGGTGCTGTGAAGAGTCAGAATATCTTTGCAGAAACAGCCACTGTTAGTAGTGTCAGTGACCAGCTAGTACACAATGGCGCTATTAAAGTGGCCCAGGAAAAGGAGGTAAATTTAATGTTCATCTATTTCTTGTGGAAGAAGAAGAAGAGATTGAATTTATACCCCGCCCTTCACTCAGAGTCTCAGAGTGGCTTACAAACTCCTTCCCCTTCCCCTCTCAGGTGGGGCTGAGAGAGCTCTGAGAGAACAGTCCTTAAGAGAATAGCTCTGACAGAACTATGGCTTGCCCAAGGTCATCCAGCAGCTGCAAGTGGAGGAGTGGGGAATCAAACCCAGTTCTCCTAGATTAGAGTCCATGCACTTAACCACTACACCAAACTGGAAGTAAACAGAAAGGCTTCTTATTATAAGTTGTGATGTCCAGGGCTTTTTTTGGGGGGGGGGGTTGGTGCTGGAATTCTCAAGAGGGAAATGAATTTTTCAATCTGTATACTGAAAACTCATGAACTTTTAAACATTTTAAAAAGAATTTTGTTGAAGAGGTTCCAGAACTCTGTTCCAGCGCATTCCCCAGAAAAAAAGCCCCAGGGATGTCACAGAAGTTTGAACATAATAGACTTACAATAAGACTATTCCTGGTTTGCAATAGCCCAGTGTGCTCTGAAATTATTACTCTGAAGTTAAAATCAATATAAAATCATTAGTCTCACCAGTTGAAGGGGGAAAAGACTTCTGAAATGCACCATGTTTCTTTATCAATGCACTATCTTCTCTTCTTAGCTCCTCAGGTACATAATATTATGAGAATGCATATTAATAGAAAAAGCAGGCCAAAGTAGACTTCTCAAAGAAAAATTATTTTTTAAGCATTCACAAGTGATGCTCACATTTGGCAGCCCAAGGGTGATTGAAGCTGGGGGGTGGGGGTTATTTGGCTATCCCTAATTATATGGCTTCCTTGAGATGCTCAGTTGTGGGATGGATGCTTGAAATGCCTTTCCATATATCCTTCCTTTTCAAACGGCACAGTAATTTAAAGAGCTGGTTATTTTTAATGTGGTTTTTATACACATTGGTGTTTTAACAACACAATAATAGAATTTGATTCCTAATGCTTTGAACTTTAAAGCAAGTATATTTTATGACTAATTACCGCTGTTCCACAGCTGTTCTCTAATATGCTTTTCAAATTCTTATTAGCTGACATTTAGATAAAGGCAGCCATTTAAGAGCCAGGCAAAAGGAACACATAGCTTGAGTCTCATGACGATTTGCATCTATGCCTAAATCTGTGTGTCTAAATCTGTGTCAGGAGGATTGTATAAATCTATTTACTTCATTTACATCCTGCCTTTCTCACTGAGACTCAAGGCAAATTACAGAAGTTCACGTGTTCATGGATTCTTCATCACTAAAATATGAGTGGTGAATTTCTATTTTCCTTACCCAATGTCTCTTTCCTTCAGAAATACAGGTTCACTCTTATGTGTCATATGGAAGTAAACAACTGCTTTCCAGTGCTTGTCAACATCATCAGCAATGCACTTTTGCAAATGTTTAATTCTACTTCCCATATTCGAATCTGGAATCATGTATTTTATTATGTAAGTATTTCAACTGGACCTCAAGATGTGTCACTTGTGTCTGTGTGTTTTCTGGGTGGGGGACATTTTTAGGATTAAAATACAATCGTAGATGTACATTACAATGTGGAGTAATCCACTGTTTTAACAATGCCAGAATTGTTATATGTACTGCTTCAAAGGATTCTGGATCAATTATTCTGATTAGACATTCCATTGTTTTCTGAGGAAACAGTACATGAGCTTGCATTGTTCACTCTCTTAGGAACCCCAGTAGTGATTGGTGTAGCTGTAATAAATGTCCATATTATGGTCCTCCTCCTTTCTGTCAGAAGTCCTTCTCTTTCACTTCCTGTAAGCCTCATGCCCTATTATGGAGGAGAAGGGTTGTGTGCCTTCTGCTAAGCATTACCACCATCCATTTTTTTTCACCCCATGTGGCAAACAACCTACAGGTGGTACAGTTTTGATCAGAAAACTGGCATGAGGGACAGTTAAGAATTTCCTTCCTCCTGCCATGCTCCAAAAATATCCCTGGTATTGGAATAAAGAAGTTAGGAGATGTGATCATGGACCTCCTGAATAATAGGCATTTTGGCCCTAATTAACAATGGAGTCCTAAGCAGAGTTACATTCTTCTATACCCACTGACTTCAGTGAATTTAGAAGGGTGTGACTGTGCTTGTTCTACAACCTAGCAGTTCGAAAGCAAGAAATTGCAAGTAGATAAATAGTTACCACTTCGGTGGGAAGGTAACAGCGTTCCGTGCGCCTTGGTGCTTAGTCATGCCGGTCACATGACCATGGAAACGTCTTTGGACAGCGCTGGCTCTTCAGCTTTGAAACGGAGATGAGCACCGCAACCCTAGAGTCGGACTCGACTGGCTTTCGAGCAAGGGAATCTTTACCTTTAACTGTGCTTGAGATTGCACTGTTCATTCTTTAGG